TTTATTTATTTCAATAAATTTACTTAGATAAAGAATTAAAAAAAGCAAAACAATAAGAAGGAAATAATTAAGAATTTAATAAAATTACTAAAATAAAAAATTAAAAGCAACGAAAAAAAATGGGTAAAAATTTTAGTAGTTTATCTATAAAACACATTAATACATTCACAGTAATTGAATTCCGAGGTAAAAGTCTCTGGGCACTCCACCAAATAGTGAGAATAAAATTTGGGACAATCTGTACCTACATATGAAAAACTATACAGGGTGGTCCGAATGTATTCCGGAAACTTATAATAAAAAATAATATAAACTTATAAGTAAAAAAGTTCCTATAAATGTATGCACTAAAATGCTTAGTTTCGGAGATACAGGGTGTACAAGTTCTATTTTTATTTCGATTTTTTCCAAATAATTTCTGAACTAACGTCGATATTTGAAGGAAAATTGGCGTCTGGGAGTTTTTTTGACATGATAAATTTGATTTTGATGTCAATATGACTCCTACTTATAGAGGGCGCCACCTACATATTTTTTAACTAGTTTGAAGGGTAATCACTTTTCGTCCGTACCTGTATAAAACTACTGAGTAAAAAAATATACATTTGCGACGTTTTTTACGTAAAAAAGGTCTCTTGGTAAAAATTGCTACGACTAACGGTTCTCGGGATATTTGAAATCGAAATTAGCAATACCTGTCATCTATGACATACGTTTAATGTTGACTAAATAGTTATTAAACTGAAATGATAAATTTGAAATGTTTTTGTACCAAAAGTTCAACAAAAACTGTATTATCATCATTTTTTCAAAGAAAAAAATCATGATGAATTTTAAAAAATAAAAAAGTTTCCAAATTTATCATTTCAGTCAAATAACTATCTACTCATAATGTCTATTTTTTTGTCAATAATGACATGTATTGATGCTCGTAGCGATTTTTACCAAAAGACATTTTTTACGTAAAAAATCATGGAAATGTATTTTTTTCACTCGGTAGTTTTATACAGGTATAGACGAAAAGTTATTACCTACTCTTGAAAACAGTTAAAACACATGTAGGTGACGCCCCCTACAAATAGGAGTCATATTGACATCAAAATCAAACTTTTCATGTCAAGAAACTCCCAGACACCAATTTTCATCCAAATATTGACGTTACTTCAGAACTTATTTGGAAAAATTCGAAATAAAAATAAAACTTCCACACCCTGTATCTCCGAAACTAAGCATTTTAGGACATATATTTATAGGAACTTTTTTTCCGGAATACAGTTCGTACCACCCTGTATATTAAAGACCACTAGAATAAATTTAATTTAGTCGAAACAAAGCAACGGGAGGCTGCAATATTTCCAAAAACTGAAATTTACATCCGTATTCGAACAATAGGAAAATTTTATTGTAAAGCCCTGGCATTCGGAAATCGTATATTTAATTGTATTTTACTATCGCGCTCACAATATTTCATATAACGTTTCGACGCATTTTTATTCCACCGTCCTCCGGATCATATTTACATATAAATACTAATAAACAAACAATACGCTGCGAACTTTCGTTTGTATTAATTTATTAAATCAATAGATCACTATTTATTTATAAAATATGTAAATGGACCCCCGGCGTGGGCCTAAATATTTTTGTTTTTTCCGCTGAAAACTCGGTAAAAAGTTTGACGTGTGGAGTAACGCCAACTTTTAACCTAAATCGTATAATTGGATAAAAAACAATTCAGTGCAATTCATACATACAACTTCGATCAAAACAAAGTGTTTTATTTGATATTATTTGTTTTGTTAAATATTAACTAGAGTTAGTTGTACCATTTTATTTCTAAATTAACCATAATTAACATAATAGAGAGAGAGAGAGAGAGAGAGAGAGAGAATATTTTTTTCCATAGCAAGTTACGTTTTAAAAAATATTCAGAAATTATTATTTCAAGGAATTTATTACGGGGAGAAAAAATATCGTGCTGGGTTAGCGTTGGTTTCTATGTAATTTGGCAAATAAATAAAGCTGTTTTTTTAGTTGTCAGTTTTGAGTCAATATCTTTTAATTCTCTTTCGTGTCGATTTCTGATTGAATAGGAGCCAGAAATGACTCAAAACGAAATAAGTAAATTACCAACAGATATTCAGGCTGTCGCCTCAGCCAAAACAGTCAAACGCCATATCCAAACTACTTCCATTTAAATCCCGAATAACTTATGAAAAGGAATACAAACATTTTCAAAAATGGAAGCAATTAAAAAACGTACGAGAAGAAATAAAGTGTTTAACCTATCCTCGCTGTTAAAGTATCATTTAATCTACTCTTGCGGTTAAAGTACTATTTTATCTACAGGTCTGTTCTCAGAAGAATCCCTGACTAGTCAGCACGTTTCTCATTGGTTAAAATGCGTAGAAACCTGACTGTTAGTCTGGTTTCTACACATTTCAACCAATAAGAAACGCGCTGACTAGTCAGGGATTCTTCTGAGAACAGACCTTACATCTACTATTTTTAATAGATATAAGGCAATTTTAACAGTTGCTATGGAAAAAAAATTATTAATAATTATTTATTAACACAAACATCCGATACGCTACTGAAGCAGGTAAGTCAAATTGACGTATCTAAATTCTTTGACATCTAATCTTTGACAAGTACTAAATGAAAGCAAAAATGTTAGAAAAAATATATAATTAGTTAATTTTAAGTGAATTTCATAAATGATCGATTTATTACACGTATTTATATTATAATATAGTCACTTACTAGCGAAAAGTTATTCCATTATTTCCCTCGATTTTTAACCGAGATCTACCGAACGATACACAACCAACTATTTTACAGTCCTTTTCGATAAATCGCAATAGTGTCACTGTTAATTTAAGTTCTGCCATAATTTCCTTCTAGATTTACTGCCTTTAAACAACTGTCAGTAGTAGAATTAATAATAAATAACATAAAATAAGCTCAGTAAAGACTGACAAATCCACAAAATTTCAAATCAAATTCAGTTGTGTCAAGTGCATAGATAAGGTCAAGTCATTGCCTGGAAACTTATATGGTGAAATTTTGATAAAATAATTTAGTACTCACTAAAGACACGGTATGTCGCTAGTGGTAGGAAAAATAATTTTTAGAGGTTACTAGTAGGAGATATTAGCCGATTGGGCTCCTCCACATGCGCAGTTCGCTTGACCTTGACATATGTGGCTTTCAAACCTCCTTGAGTGATTCCAGAAAGAACCTTGTTGTGAGACCTTAAACGACCTTTAAGGTTGACTTTCAGATGTATTTGAAATGCGTTTGTGTACCCTTCACAAGTTTGATGAACCAGAAAAACTCAAAAGATCAATTTTGTTGAAAAAGGATGGCCAGTCAAGAAAAAAATATATTTTCTTTAAAAAAGCAGAGTGTGCCATTTATGTTAAGCAAAATATCGATTTTTTTTAATTTTTAACACCCTGTAGATCAGAAAGAAAGTACTTTAGACCCAATGGTTATATAAAAATTGTTTTAAGAATACATGAGGAATCACACCACAATTTTTTAGACTAATTAGAAAACACTCTGTATATTGTCAACTTGACAATGATTGTTGATAAATCAAAAAATACCTTTTCTGTGAAAAGAGCCCGATTTTCGCAGGAAACATTTTGGTTTTTATTGAATTTGGGCCTGCGTCTACAAATACCGTTATATTTTTTAAGATTCTATCTATCTAAATTTTAAATATCATAGTCAGAAATAGTTTCATTATTTATTAACTCTAAAAATGGTATACTTATAAGTTTTATCAAATATTGTGATTTACTTTCTACCTTGTAGTCAAAATTTATATTTAATAAACTGTAAAATATATATATTCTTATGTTTTATTAAAGTTACTCTGATATATTAATATATCAGTGTAACTTTAAAACTAAATCTTTTGAAATCAAATATAAACATAAAAAATATTTACAGCAGAAAAGGCGAAGGCGCTGAGTTAAACGTAGTCTCTACTAAGAACACGGAGGGGCGCTTTGACCCAAAATTTTACTATTAAGTTTCATATCTATCTTAATAGAAGATTATTTTCTTTTATCTATGGGTCAAGTGAATCCTTTGAATAAGAAGACTAAGGAAGGAGCATATCAAAAATCTTAGGTACACCGCGATGGGCCTCAAATATGGCCGACTTAAATTCCGGTTTATCAGTGTCGTTCTAATTTTATTTAAAAAATGTAAAACTATGATGTAGGGTAGACGTGGGGTAGACTCAATAATTTGTTGTTTTATTTTACGTTGTGAATAAATGTTGGTAGTTATTAAAATTGTTATAAAAATATATAATTCTAATAAAAATAGATAAGTTATAATAAGTATTTATTACCACAAACATCCGATACGCTACTGAAGCAGGTAAGTCAAATTAACGTATCTAAATTCTTTGACATCTAATCTTTGACAAGTAATAAATAAAAGCTAAAATGCAAAGAAAAATATATAATTTAGTTAATTTAAGTGAATTTCATAAATGATCGGTTTACTACACGTATGTATATTATATAGTCACTTACTAGCGAAAAGTTGTTCCATTATTTCACTCAATTTTTGCCGAGATCTACCGCACGCTACACAACCAACTATTTTAGAGTCTTTTTCGATAAATCGCGATAGTGTCACTGTTAATTTAAGTTCTGCCACAATTTCCATCTAGATTTACTACCTTTATACAACTATCAGTAGTAGAATTAATAATAAATAACATAAAATAAGCTCCGTAAAAACTGACAAATCCACAAAATTTCAAATCAAATTCAAATCTGTCAAATGAATCGTCAAACAGAACTATCAAGGATCCCCACCCTAGAGAGCTTTTATGGTGGCTTTTCCGCCCACCATGCATGAATACATGGATAGCATTATGCTCCTTCCTTAGTCTTCTTATTCAAAGAGTGAATCAAATCAAACAGAACTGTCAAGGATTGGAGTCCTCTTCCCGTCAACCTATGCCGTCGACCATGCATGAATATAATTAACGACCTTCAGAAAAACGCTTTAAAAATAAAAAGAAGAGGAAGTCAGTGTCAAAACTCAAAATTCAAAGTATGTTCTGTTGTCAAAGTTAGCGATTTAACGATATTTTCCCGGAAATATGAAAAGGAATTCTCTGAAATGTAAGATAGGACCTTCGATTTTGAACTCGGATCTATCACAGCTCTATGCCGAATCCCAGAGGCTCTTAGACAATGGTGCCGATTACCTTCATTTGGACGTTATGGATGGTCACTTTGTACCCAACTTAACCTTTGGCCACCCAGTAGTAAAATGCCTAAGAGGAAAAATACCACATGCCTTTTTCGAGACTCATATGATGGTACAGAATCCAGAGCAGGTATATTTTTCCCACTGTTCGAATCCAGAACCAAAATAACATCTCTTAGCAAAATAAAACACTAAATCACCACAATACACCAAAACACCTTTACTTTTACACTGGACGCGCGTTTCGCTAACTATGTTAGCATCATCAGCAGATGATTATAAACTAAAGTACAATCTACAAGTTGAGCGTTTATATACTCGCTCAGTGAGTGTGGCAAGATCTAGCCAACCGAGTCAGAGCCCACCGAGCGTAACAGTTAGCTTTCCGCCACTAGAGCAGTAGGAACAAAGAACTTGAAGGAATTGGACCGTTGTCCCTGTTCATACTATCTTTACATTTACTAATTCTGATGCTTTCAATCTAATTGCCTGTAATTTGAGACTTGTTTAATTGATTTAAAATTATTAAGATCTATACAATGTTCTTTATCAACAATATGTTCAGCAACGCAAGATTTATCCGGTCTACTATATCTTATCTGAGCTAAATGTTCTTTAAATCTGGTTAATATTGATCTTCTACTTTGCCCAACATATTTCTGATTACAGTCTTTACAAGAAATTTCATAAATACCTGACCTTTCCAGTGGAGGTGTTTTATCCTTTGGATTACCTAATAATTGTTGCAATTTATTATTAGCACTATACACAAGTTTATAATTGACATTCTTAAAAATTCCTTTTAGACCACGGGATAACTCTCTATAAAACGGTATTGAAAAATATTTTGACGTGTCTTTCTCCACTTGAAAAGTCGAATTTACAGAAATCATTAACCTATACCGTTTTCTAATTATTTTATCAACTAGTGACGGAGAATGTCCATTACACTCAGCTACATTCCTAATGTAATCTCTTTCTATTTCATATCTTTCGTTGGTAAGTGGAAAACTAAATAATCTATGAACTAAAAAATTTAAACTAGCCATTTTATGTTCAACACTATGATATGATTCATTAGGAATATATCTGCGTGTAGTTTTTTTTTCGGAGGTGTAAAATACCTTTACGTACAGCGTGTGGGACTCAATCTCTCCTTAAGCTGCCTGGAGGACACTACCCACTAAACATCACCCCCTCGCTCCTGCCATGTCTACCTGGACCCGCTGGACGCATCTCCTCAAATAGACGCCGGACTGTTCTTTTTGTTTCATTACCCCTGCTCTTCGCTGTATTTTGCCACTAGTATATTTTGGGCCAGTTTTGAGATGGCTTCAAAGTTTTCTCTTCTTTCTGTTACCGATTTTAAGAAGGTATCTGCGGAGATGTTGCCACCAATCGTCATGCGTGCCTCACATCTTTCCTGTTCCCATCTTGGACAAGCAAACATTGTGTGTTCTGGAGTATCTTTGGGTTCAGCACAGTATCGGCATTCCGCGACTTCCCTCTTTCCAATTTTACACAGGTAACTCCCAAAATTTCCGTGACCGCTTAATATTTGAGTAAGATAGAAGTTTACCTCTCCATGCTCTCTTTTAATCCACATATTTATATTTGGGATGAGCTTATATGTCCATCTTCCTTTTTGCGATACCTCCCATTCTGCCTGCCACTGCTGCACTGAGCGGTTTCTCTCCATCTCTCTACTTCCCCTGGTTTGTACTTCACCCTTGAGAAAGAGTCGTTCTCTTTCTCTTGAGAGAAGATGCAGGGGCACGAAACCCGATATCTCCAAGGCTGCCTCAGTTGAAGTTGTCCGATACGCCGAGCAGACCCTCAAAGCCATGATTCTCTGTGCACCTTCAAGTCTTTTTTTATTTACGTGCATATTGGTTACTTCGTTCCACACAGGTGCTCCATACATAATAATATTCTGGCACGCATATGCTAACACTCTTCTCTTTGCTGGTGTTGGGCCCCGAACGTTTGGCAGTATTGCGGACAACGCCTTAGCAGTTCGTTGTGATTTCAAACACACCTCCTTGATGTGCAGGCCCATCGTGAGTGCACGGTTTGGTTTGGTGAGTGCACGGTGTATATGAAATCCAAGATAGTTGATTTGCTTTACTGGATGTATTATTATATCCTTAAAATTAAACCTTATATGGTCAACTTTTCTCTTGCGGCTCAGTAAAATCGCCTCTGATTTTTCCACAGGTATTTCGAGTCTGTGCTCACGCATCCATCTGGCTATGATCTTTAGTGTATCATCCACAGTCTGCATTAGATCGAGGTCATTTATTTTTTTGTTTCTTTTAGTTTTTTTTTGTTATTATCGCAGCAAGATCATCGGCGTAACAGATCAACTTTGTCCCACCTGGTACAGGAAGCTCCATGACACTGTCGTATAATATGTTCCACAGAGTTGGCCCCAGCACCGAGCCCTGTGGGACGCCACCGAATACCTCTCTTTCATCTTCTCTATTAAGAACTATAAATCTATTGTCAAGATAGCTTCTTATTATGTTCACCAAATAACCACTTATGCCCCATCTTCTAAGTTCTTTAATAATTATTTCCCATGACGCGCAATTAAATGCATTTTTAACGTCGACTAAAATCAAAGCATTATGCCAAGTGGCTTTTCTTTTCACGATATCGGATATTTTCTTCATTGCATGTGTGGTAAATTTCCCCTTTACAAATCCATACTGGTTGGGATGCATACCATTTCCTTTCTTCCTAATTTCTTCCAAGAGTCGCGTATTGATGAGTTTCTCATAGACTTTCCCGATTACATCAATGATCTGCGTGTAGTGGTATTCTTCCTATAGACATCAAATTTTCCAGTGCAAAAGTAAAAGTTTTTTGATGTATTGTGGTGATTTAGTGTTTTATTTTGCTGTGTAACACCAAAGGTTCCAACCCTCAACTGTAATAACATCTCTTATGTATTTCAGTGGATCGAACCTATGGCTGATGCAAGTGTAAATCTGTACACATTTCATATAGAACCTGTTTTAAAAGACGTCCTTCCACTATGTCGAAAAGTTAGAGAGGCCGGAATGAAAGTGGGTCTGGCTTTAAAACCAGGAACAGATACTGAAGCTGTGAAGCAGTTTATTGATCATGCAGACATGATTTTAATCATGACAGTTGAACCAGGTTTTGGGGGACAGAAATTTATGAATGACATGATACCTAAGGTACAATGGTTGAGGCACAATTATCCGTTACTAGATATCGAAGTTGATGGTGGTGTAGGCTTAAATACAATCACTGCATGTGCTGAGGTAAAGCATTCATTAATTTTATTAGTATTTTTGTCATTTATTTATGTTTTTAGGCTGGTGCAAACATGATAGTGGCTGGTACAGCAATCATAGGGGCCCGTGATCAGAAGTCTGTGATTGATAGTTTACGGGAGATTGTAGAACGCTCAATACAAAAATGCAGTTGTAAAATGTGATAAAAGTATCTCTAGGTATACTTCTATAGGTACACATTATTACACGTAATTATTCTGAAGAACTGATATTGTTATAAATAAAATAATTATTTGCAATCACTGTGAAATCATAAAAAGAATGATTTTATTGGCTTCAGACTATCAGTAATTTTAAAGAAACATTGTTAAGGATAATACATTGTAATGGATAATGGCTATACATTCCTAATAATCAATTCATTTCAAATTGCGTGGCGGAATTTTTATATTGTACAGGGTATAAATAATATACAAATACACCCCCTAAATGTGGGTGTTCTATTTTAAATTTAGTATGGATATATTTTTTTCTAAAGCCTAAAATTTACAAATGGGAAGTTTTACAGATTTCAAAATTCTGTTTTGTGAATTTGTTTATAAACATTTTTTTTTATTTTTGTATTTTTTTTTAATTAATATTTGTTTATATTATTATTTTGTAATATTTTAATTTGTTTAAACAAATGTTAGATTTCCGTGTCAAAATAAAATGTCCGTAATATAAAAAATTTACAGTGATGCTATTGTTTCTGAAGTTGGAGTAATACATTTTGGTAGAATAATTTTATACATATACCGGGTGCGTCTCAAAAGTGGCTCACCCCTATAACTTTTTTATTTTTTGATAGGGAAAAACGAATTAAACCTCCCAGATAACCAGTACGTGTCGTATAAAATTGGTTTTAACCTCACATGAATCTTATCTTATAGTGACCTAAGCCCCCTCAAAAGACTTGAGCCCCTCCAAAAGTATATGTCTAGTTGCGCCCCTGGTCGTATACTCGCTATTTAAACCTGTGTATTTGTATACAGGGTGGGCCACTGAAAACTTACAATGGCTATAATTTTTAAACCAAAAAAGATATCACAAAAATAAAAAATACCGTTTCTATAATATCGAGGGGGGATACATATGACGTATTTTTTAAATCACCCTGACCTACCCCTTAGGCGGCACCCCTACTCACTTGAAAATCTTAAATAGCAACACCCCACTTGTGGCGCCTTTTTGGAAACCCCATGAAAAATGCTAAACGATGATCATAAAATATTTAGGGTGAAATTGAAAAACTACCCCTTACACGAAAAATTAGGTGGACATTAATGAGAAAAGTAATGTTTCAGTATAAGTTACAAATTGGGACCCAGCTAAATGAGGCAAATGAGGTATTTTTCAAACCACCCCGACCCACCCCTAGGTGTCACCCCCTCACTTCTAATCTCATCAATGCCATTTTGAAACCATTGCCATTTTGAAGCTAAAAATAAAAAATGTAGATAATAAAAAAGACAATACAAAGATGTTTTACTAATCGTTCAGCCTAATTTTGCGATAACGCAAATTCTTCCTTATTTTCTATTTTTTTACTTTCAACAAATAGGAGTGCATTTTCAATACTCTTCTGACAGATGTTCGAGGTATACCTGTGATTGATGCCAACTGGCATGTTGATGCTTCTGGATTGACCGATACCTGACCAATAACTTCCATCTGCATTTCTTCATTCAGTACCCTGGGCCCTGTTTGAAACTTTAGAATCAAATCTCTAACATAAACGTAACATAACCGTTTCCAAATAGCACATACCTTCAATACCATAATGAAAAACTATTTGAATTCTTTCTTTCACAGTATAAACCATTTTTCTTTCAAATAAGCGAATCAAATAAAGGTTTAAAACAACACCAAATTTGCAAATGATTGAAAATCGATAGAAGACAGTGCAAAAACGCAAAGATTTTTTAAGAAAACGTTTTAAGATTCCTGTTTGTTGAAAGTAAAAAAATAGATGTTCAGGAAGAATTTGCGTTATCGCAAAATTAGGCTGAACGATTAGTAAAACATCTTTGTGTTGCCTTTTTTATTTTTAGCTTCAAAATGGCAATGATTTCAAAATGGCATTGATGAGATTAGAAGTGAGGGGGTGGCACCTAGGGGTGGGTCGGGGTGGTTTGAAAAATACCTCATTTGACTAATTTAGCTGGGTCCCAAAATCACTTTTTGCATTAATGTCCACCTAATTTTTCGCGTAAGGGGTAGTTTTTCAATTTCACCCTAAAAACTTTATGATCATCGTTTAGCATTTTTAATGGGATTTCCAAAAAGGCGCCATAAATGGGGTGTTGCCATTTAAGATTTTCAAGTGAGTAGGGGTGCCGCCTAAGGGGTAGGTCGAGGTGGTTCAAGAAATACGTCATATATATTACTCCTTGATATTATAGAAACGGTATTTTTTATTTTTTTGATATCTTTTATGGTTTAAGAATTATAGCCATTGTAAGTTTTCAATGGTCCACCCTGTATATCAGTGGCAGCACCGGCGGAGAATGCACCAAGCCTATAACATCTAAGTTACTAATTCTTTTCAAATATAGTAAAAGTTATGCCAGTTTCCTCCACCCCAAAAAGGTGAAACAAACCGTAGGCGTTGACGTATCTCCACCTCCCTGTCCTCGACAATGTGTCCGGCTAGTGTACGCGTGTTCTAGGCGTGCACGACACTAATAGGGTCGCATTGAATAATTCCTGGGACAGAACGGACCGGACAGGAGTGGCAAACGTTAATCAATTCCAACCGCAATTGAAACCTGCAGGCTATTCATTCATCGGCTGCGCCATAACTAACGCCAAGTTATCCAATTATACCTGTCGGTCAGCTATTGTAGGGACCAGGTTGTTATAGTTTGTGGATTTTGACTAGTGGAGAAGGCAAACTTATTTTGAAGGATCTACTAGAATTGCATTAAACAGGGTGTCCCTATATTTTGTAGGTATAGAATTACTATGGATAATGTCCTAATTATCGTCATATTAAGAGAATATCTCAGTTCAGTTAACCATAAAATCCGAATTATTAGTATAAGGCTTACAATAAAATTAAATATGACACCAGGGTGTTGACTGATATTTTCGATTATTTTCAAGAAAATCTACAATTGCTCCAAATATTGTCACCTCTGTACTTATAGAGGGTGGTCCAAACTATATTCCGGAAACTTCGGCAGCATATCCTGCAGATAAAAATAAGTAAAAAAGGTCGTATAAATGTATGTCCTAAAATGCTTAGTTTCGAAGATACAAGGTGTAGAAATTTCATTTTTATTTTGATTTTTTCCAAATAATTTCTGAAGTAACGTCAATATTTAGATGAAAATTGCTGTCTGGGAGTTTTTTGACATGAGAAATTTGACTCCTGCTTGTAGAGGGCGCACCTACATAGTTTTTAACTTGTTTGAATAGTAATAACTTTTCGTTCGTACCTGTATAAAACTATTAAGTAAAAAAATATACATTTAAGACGTTTTTTACTTAAAAAAAGTGTCTTGGTAAAAATCGCTACGAGTAATGGTTCTCGAGATATTTGAAATCGAAATTATCAATACCTGTCATCATTGACATAAATAATTAAACATGTTGACTAAATAGTTATTAGATTGACATCATAAATTTGAAATGTTTTTGTGCCAAAAGTTCAACAGAAACTGTTTTATCATCATTTTTTCGAAGAAAAGTTTATGATTAATTTAAAAAAATTAAATTTAAAAAATCATTTCAGTCAAATAACTAGTTTATCTACTCTACATGTTTATTTTTTGTCAATAATGACATGTATTGGCTATTTCCATTCTAAATATCTTGAGAACGGTTGTTCCTAACGAGTTTTACCGAGAGATATTTTTTACGTAAAAAATCACGGAAATGTATATTTTTTCACTCAGTTGTTTTATACAGGTACGGACAAAAAGTTACTACTCTTAAAAACAGTTAAAACGCATTTAGGTGGCGCCCCCTACAAATAGTACTCATATTGACATCAAAATCAAATTTGTCATGTGAAAAAACTTCCAGACACCAATTTTCAACGTAATATTGACGTTACTTCAGAAATTATTTGAAAAAAATCGAAATAAAAATGAAACTTATACACCCTGTATCTCCGAAACTAAGCATTTTAGGACATACATTTATACGAACGTTTTTACTTATTTTTATCTGCACAATAAGCTACCGAAGTTTCCGGAATACAGTTCGGACCACCCTGTATAATCCCAATTAGTGAATCAGTAGTTTAGTTTAAATGAGATACTCTGGTGATACTTTATATTGCTATCACTTTTTTCGTAATCTATTCAAGTCTACCCTATAGTTTATTTTTCAACACCAAGCCACCAAGTATTCTAAATGATACTAATTTTCTCAAAACACCGAAAATTCCATCGCAGGGCATTAATATTAAATAATATACGACCTGGGGGATCATGTGTACTCGTCTTCTATTCCTCGGAGACAGAAAAATCACTGTTAAAAATTACCCTTTTCACGCAAACCCGAGTTAACTTTGTCCCTTCGTCACTGGCCACCCCCCCTTGTCCCACTGTACCCCCTCTTTCTCTTTACATTTAATATTTATCACCCAATTTCGCTTCACACGACACGGGGGACTGTCCAATGCGGTAGAAAACAGGGAAATGAGGGGAGGGGTAAAATTGTGATTTTTTACCCCCTGTATCGTTCTGCAGTTTAAAGGACGGACGGTGAATGGAGAAGGGTAAACTTTATAAAAACTACCCAGTTAATTAATTAATAGATACGTTCCATGTAGACATGTACAGGGTGAGTCAACAATAGAGTAAGGTCCATTATCCCATTTGTAACGAGATTAACAAAAACATAATAAATAGAAAAGTTATACCGGGTGCGTCTCAAAAGTCGCTCACCCCTATAACTTTTTTTATTTTTTCAGATAAAATAACGAGATTTGCTATGTTAGAATATGACATAAATTGGGATTGATTGACGTATTCAATTGATTTCTGTCACTTCCGGTTTCACCGGAAATGGCTACAACTTTTGATTTGTAAATGACACCCTCGGCATTTTTTTACTTTATTTGATAGAAAATGACACTCTGAATCGAATGACATATCATATGTCGTAAAATAAGGCGTAAATGTACATATATTTTTTTACTCAGTAGTGTAATACAGGGACGGACAAAAAGTTATTACTCTCCAAAGCATTAAACACATGTAGGTGGCGCCCCCTACAAGTAGGTGTCATATTGACATCTAAATCAAGTTTCTCATGTTAAAAAACTTCCAAAAATTATTTCAAAAAAATCGAAATAAAAATCAAACTTCTACACCCTGTATCTCCGAAACGAAGCATTTTAGGACATAAGTTTATACGAACTTTTTTACTGATTTTTACGTGCAGAATATGCTGCCGAAGTTTCAGGAATACAGTTCGGACCACCCTGTATATTATGATTTATTCTGATAAAAAACCGAACGACAAAATTCAACCTATCGAATAGCTAAAAACTGGCTGCTTAAATTGTTTATTGAACTATCGCATCTCGAGTAATTCATGCTATATTATTGTATGTAGCTATTCAAGTGTATATG